GTGACCGGCCCAGAGTCTGTGACCGGCCCGGAGCCCGTGACTGGCCCAGGGTTTGTGACTGGCCCGGAGCCCGTGACCGGCCCAGGGTCTGTAACTGGCCCGGACCCGTGACCGGCCCAGGGTCTGTGACCGGCCCGGAGCCCGTGACCGGCCCAGAGCCCGTGACCGGCCCAGGGTCTGTAACCGGCCCGGAGCCCGTGACTGGCCCAGGGTTTGTGACTGGCCCGGAGCCCGTGACCGGCCCGGGCCGGCGGCGGCACCGGCGCGCGCGGGCCCCACGCGAACGGGACGGGCGGGGCGTGGGCGCCCCCTGGCGGCGAAAATAAACGGCGGCAGCGTCCGGCGCGGCTCGGGCTGTGCGGGCACCGGGGGCGGGGGGCGGGGCGGGGGGCGTGGCCAAGGAGACGGGGGCGGGCCCGGCCCGGCTCCGTGCGGGTCCGCACGCGCCGCGGCCGCCGCCTGCTCGCGCGCCGCACGTAGGCGCCGCTTAAAGGGGCAACGCGGCGGGGCCGCCGCCCTCGCGGCCGGGCGGGCTGCAGCCCGCGGGCGGAGCCGGTGCCCTTTTAAGAGACGGTCGCCCGGTGCCGGTGGTTTTATTTACATGGGGGCTCGCGGGCGTCACGTGACTGACAGCGGCGGGGGCTGCGCGCGGAGCATCCGCGGGGCCATGGCGGGAACCGGCGACGACGGTCTGGGGGGACCCGGGGGGCACCGGGGGGCACCGGCCGTTCGGGGCTGTGGGGGACCTGGGCGGGCTGGGGAGCAATGGGGGGCGGGGCCGGGCAGGGGGGCACCGGAGCGTTCGGGACAATGGGGGACCCGGGTGGTCCGGCGGGTACCGGGGCCTTCGGGGCACTGGGGAGTCTGGGGGTCCCAGCGGGACTGCCGTGCACACATGGGGGTCTGGGCTGATGTGCCACGGCGATGGGGGCGGGTCAGGGGGCAGCCCGGGCCGGGGTCCTGTGGGGGCTGACATGCCCCGGGTGTCTCAGAGGGGCTGATGAGCACAGCGGGGGCCGGGGCAGAGGCAGGCGGCGGTCCCGAGGGAGAAGGGCGCGGCGAGGAGCAGCCCTGGGGCCCGTGGGACGTCCCGGGTCGGGAACCGCGCTTGGTGCTCCCGCGGTCTCTGGGCAGGGCTGTGGGGTGTGCCGGGGAGGGCGACGGGATGGGACGGGGTGCGGGGGGCAGCGCGGGGGCTGACGGCCCCTCCAGGCTCCTGGGTGGAGCTGCGCTATTGCCCAGGCTGCCCCGAGCCGGCACCCTCGCCGTTCTCCTGCCACGCTGACGTGGAGCGGATGCTGCTGGAAGCCCAGCTGGAGACGGAGAGCGGGGACGGGTGAGTTGCAAGGAGGAGCCGGGCCCCGGAGCTCTGTCGGGCCAGGCTGGGCTTGGTGACCGAGGGGGTCTGTTTGCAGGGCCCTGCTCGTGCTGGACGCTCCAGCCTGGGATGACAGTGGAGCTGGGCAGGCGAGCGAGCAGTCAGGGGAGAGCGAGGTCCTGCCTGCACACAGCCAGCCCCCACCGGGCTGCCCCCACCCCCGGCAGGTAAGGGAGCTGTCCCCTACCCTTCTGCACCCCTGGGCCCTGCTCTGATCTGCCCTGTGTCCCTTCCAGTGGGATATCCTGGAGGAAACCAAGCGGAGACAGCGACTCCTGCCAGCGACCCTGGGCTGGGCCTGTACTCGCTGCCCCCGGTACCTGTCTCCAAAGTAAGTCTTGTGTCCCCCACCAGCATGTCCTGCTGTTCCTCATTCTGCTGTCCCTGTGCCCCCATTAACCCTGCACTTTTCCCAGGGAATTTGCCTTTGTGTGCTCCCCCCAGCCTGTGCTGTGGAGCCTGCAGGGAGGTGCAGTGGGGAGGAAGAAGAGACTTTTCAGTTCAGAGCTGCTGCTGCTCTTCATCCCCTCGCTGCTGCTCAGCCACCTCCTGACCCTGGGGCTGGGGTGAGTGTCGGGGGGGAGTCTCACCCTTGGGCTGGGGTGATTGGGGGTCCCACCCACACTGTCGGGGGACCGGTCCCGGGAGCACAGGCAGACTGGGCCTACAGTGAGTGTCTGTGCAGTCAGGGGCTTCCTGGGTGCCGCTGGCTGCCCTGATCCAGAGGAATGTCCCCACAGGAAGCCTGGGGAGGGGGAAATGCTCCTGGATTTGGGCTGCTCATCCTTGAGTGCTGTCCTGCACCACTTCTCCCAGCAGCTGCAGTGGACTGCTGCCATCTCCCCTTGCTCCTGCCTTGCTGGGGCCCAGCAGGCTGTGCCCATGCTCATGCCTCACAGTTGCTCTCTCCAATCCAGGATCTACATTGGGAAGCACCTGGCAGCCACCTCGGCCAACCCCCTGTGAGGAGCCCTGTGCTGCCCCGCTCGGTGTGCAGGGGGAGCCCGGCACCCGCACAGCCCGACCGCTCCCAGGCTCCGTGTCTGTGGCACGAGGTGCCGCCTCCCCGTGTACCTCCTGTAGCCCCCGCCTTGGGAGCTGATCCCCCTCTCCCACGTAGACAGGAACCTGCTGACAGCAGCACCCAGCCACAGGCAGCCCCTGCCCTCCCCAGCCCCTGGTTACAGGTCCAGGTCCCCTGTAACACAGACTGTAAATATGACTGAGCCCATGTCAATAAAGAGCCCTGTTCCAGCTCAGGGGCCCAGCAGTGAGTCCTGTCCCTGTGCCTGGTTGGTACAGCTCGGCTCAGGGAGTGACTGTCAGGCTCCCAGGGGGCCCTCCTTGCTGCAGGAGGGTGAGTCCCTGCACTTCAGGGTGCTGGGATGGTGCTGACTGAGGATGGCCCCAGGTTGGCCCGGGTGAGCAGGGGCATTGCTGGGGCTCACAGGGGTGCCCAGCTCCACACAGGTGCCAGCTGATGTGTTTGCCCTTTATTAGCTGTGGCTCTGGGCTGGTGTGGCAGGGGCTGAGCACGGCTGGTTGGGGCAGCAGCACCTGCCTGGTGCAGGTGCCAGGTGTGGCCACGAGAGGTGGGACTGCACAGCACGAGGTTGCCTAGGTTCACATGCACACCCAGCTGGGTCCTGTGCAGTCACAGCACCTGGGCCAGGAGTGTGCCCCAGTGCTGCAGGGTGGGGTGGAGAGATGAGGGACAGGAGCTGCCTCTGGAGTGGAGAGCGGGAGGGAATTGCTCAGAAATGCTGCTGGGAAGGTGGCTGGTTCCCTGCCTGTGGTGCAGTGCAGAGAGGAGGGAGGGCACAATGGCCTCACGGGCACAGTGGCCAGATGGCTGGGGTGCTGCTTGGGTGGGACTCAGCACCGCTCTGCTGGCAGAGTTCTGACGTGGGCTGTAGCAGAACTGCTGCGCCTGAGCAGGATGGTGAGGGCTGGTAAGAACATCGGGGCAGGGAAGTCTGGAGGCAGGTGGGTCCCTGCCCCAGGGGGCACCTGGAGGGCAATAGCCAGAGTTGACAGGAGACAGGGTGGCAGTGCCCGGTGCCAGCCTGGGCATTGGGTGCACAGAGATCCCATGGCTGCACAGGATGCTCTGGGTGTCAATGCTGCAAGGGTGGTCCAGCAGGTGAGGGTCAAGCAGGGCCCTGGGGTCCAGCAGCCAGCTGGGCACAGGGGCATCATGGGCAGGGGTGGCACCAGGTCAGAGCTGTGACATTCGCTTGGACTTGGGGAGTGGCAGCGGCGGGGACTTGACGCCTCTGTTCCCGTCTGCTGTCGGGGACGTGGAGGCCTACGAGCAGAGAGAGATGTTATGGGGGTGGGGGAATGGGGGCTGGGGCCAGCAGGTACCTTCCCTCCAGTACCTTCCCTCCGGCTGTGGCGTTGCTCTGCTCCAGGAACGTCTCATACACCGCGGGGCTGATCTTGCGGGGCAGCGGTGGGACCTTGCTGGCACTTTTCACACGGCCACCGAAGCCAGTGGGAGACAGGGACAGCCCTGTGCAGGCAGGGGAGGTGGGCTGGGGGGCTTGGCCATCCCAGGGGACCATCAGTGTGCCCGGGGCTGTCAGTTCCCAGGGCTGTCAGGGCCAGCTCCTGCCTGCAGGAGTGTGGGGGCCTGGGCAGCAGGGCCAGGGGTGCCCTGGGATGTGAATCCAGCCAGGAGCGGGGGCCGGCTCCCACTGAGAGCTGCTCTGGGCACCAAGACCCAGCAGCACGAGATCTGGGATCAACGCCTACCTCATGGGGAGCATTTGGTGGGAGATGTGCCTGTGCTCCCAGTCCGTGCCATGGTGGGGATGGGGGAGGGGGTGAGGATTCCTCTGCTGGGGTGCAGAGCTGAGGGTGCTGGGGGGGCACAGCCCTGCTCATGGGGCTGTTGGGGCTCGAGAAGGTGCCCCCTGAGCCATGCTGGGGCGGGGAGTACCTGCAGCACTGGGCTGAGCACTGGCAGCAGCTCGGCTCGGCGGGGGCTGTTTGCTGTCGGAGCTGCCCGGGCTGCTCTCACTCATGTTGTGGGACAGTCTCCACTTCTCGTCCTGGGGCACAGAGGGGAGGCTCAGCACCTCGAGGGGCCAGGCTGGATGGCAGCCCTGCATCTCCAACCTTGGGCCCCTCCAGGCCCTGCTCCTGCCCTCTCTGCAGCGGGGGCTGCCACCAGCCCCATGAGGGGTCCTGTTCGGGCTGGAGTCTGGTGCTGCCAGCTGGGTCAGGGGTCTGCGTGCAACGGGACACCCAGGGAAGTGCGGGCTGGGGGGGCCCAGGGAGACACCACCATCACCTTGGGCTCTGGCAGCTCCGAGATGGACCGGCGCACATCCTGCCGCCGGGACCCAAAGAGGGAGCTGGAGCGGTTCTCCCGGCGCTCGTTCCTACGATCCTCACTCTCGGACGTGCGGGGAGCAGGCTTTGGGATCGAAGGTGCCTCTGTGCTGTGGACCAACTGGGGCAGGTGAGGAGCAAGGGGTGGCAGGGGAAGGGGGAGCAGGGCTACGCCATGGGCTGGCCAGAGCACTGCCGGGAGCAGCCGCCCTCAGCCAGGCACCAGCACTGTCTGCAGCAGAGCTCGGTGGGGGATGTTCGCAGAGGACAGACGTGCGTGGCTCAGGTGACAGTGGTGTCCAGGTGAGCCTGGGGGCTGCACGTGGGGTGTCTCTCCTCCATGCCCCCTATAGGGACAGGGCCACTGTGGTGGCATGGCACGATGGACCCCTGAGATGTGCTTGACATAAAGGGAAGGCAAGAGGGCAGAGGACTGGGGAGATGGGAGAGAAGCACCTGGGGCAGAGCAGAGTGAAAGGCTCAGCAGGGAGGGGTGAAGGCAGAGAGAGTGGGTGGCCAGCACTCCCCACCACAGCACTTGCCTGGCTCCAGCATGGCTCAACCGGTCACAGTCGGGTCCCCAGGCCATGGACCGGGGTCGTCCACTCCGCTGGTCCTCAAAGAAGACCTGAGAGCACAGGGAGCCTGAGACACAGCCAGGAGGGATGAGAGGGCAGAGCCTCAAGATTCTTCCCTGGGCTCAGCCAGGGCCAGCAGTGCCCTCTCACCAGTCCTCCTGCTGTGCCAGTGCCAGCCACCCCATAGCAGTGCTGTGCCCCTCCTGGGGCAGGCAGGGACCCTGAGGTCCCCCTTGCACAGTGCCCCTCACCCTGTTCCTGCCCCAGCTGCAGCCCCATCCAGGTGCTCCCTGCTGCCCCACACCTTGGTTTGTCCAATGTCATGCCGTGCCACGCACTGCCCATGTCCCCCAGCAGTGCCCACCCTGTGCCTGCTGCCCTGGCACTCACCATCTCCCGCACCCCGTACTGGCTCTCCACCTTGGCCCGCAGCTGCTCGAAGCACTGCTCCATGCGCTCGTGGAAGGGCCGCAGGTCCTCTGTCACCTTCTGCCCGTGGATCCGGATCCCCTCTGCCAGCAGCGGGGTCTGTGGGAGAACGAGGACAGGTCCCCCTGGGCTCGTGGGGCTCCCTGGGACAGGGACACCTCCGGGGCAGGTCTCCCTGCCTGTACCTGCCAGGCAATCAGGTCCTTCAGCTTCTCGATGTTCCCTGCATCCCTGGGGTGCTTTTTCAGGTAGGACTCCTGGAAAAAGGCCTGCAAGGACCCCCTTCAGTCCTACTGCCAGGCTGGCCCGGCTCCACACAGAGTGGGATGGCAGAGTGGTGCCAGTGCCTGTGGCCACCAGCCCCGGGCGGTGCCCGGCTGGCCCCAGCACAGCTCCTGTGTGTACTCACCGCCTCGTACTTGGCGAAGCCACCCATGACAGCAGGGTCCACGATGCCATTGAGCAGCATGGAGAGCGGGTTGATGGGCAGGCTGGGGTCGTTCTGGTGCCGGTTGATCTCACTCATGATTTTCTCATTGGTTTTCATCATTGTCTCAATGGCGTTTTCCAGGGGGGAGATGATGGTCTGTGTGCAGGGAGGGGAGGTCAGTGCCCGCTGGCCCAGCCACCTCCCCCCCTAGTTAGGGCTGGCAGGGTGGGCTCTCCCTGGCCCCAGAGGAGGGACCCCAAGGGCTGCACATCTCACTCCATGAAGCTCCTCAGACCCTTGGCACTGGGTGCTTGGGGCTGAGCCGAGAATTCACAGGGACGCACTGGCCGTGCTGGTCCCTGCTCCCAGCACAGGCTGCCTCAAGGTCAGTCCTGCAGGCATGAGGCTGCAGTGGCTTACAGGAAACCTGGTTAACCATCGGTGTCACTTTGGGGGTGCAGCAGTGGGAGGCACAGCCTGAGCACCACGGCAGAGACATGTATGCAGTGCTTGTACAGCTGTATGTCCCCATGCCCACAGCACCCTGTGACAGCCCAGCCAGGGCATCCCAACAGCCCAGTGAGAGCATTGTGTGACAGCCCACTAGGGCACGTCACATCTCCATTGCTGTGGCTCCTGAGCCTCCCTGGATGTTGGCCGAGCACCTGCCTCTGACAGAGGCACAAAGCCCATGCACAGAGCCTTGGCAGCAGCTGCTAACACCCCTCCACCCTCTGCTGCTCCCCACACGTGGTCCCTGCTGCCCACAGAGGAGATGTGTGTTCCAGTGGTCCAGCCATGCAAACCTGTCCCTGCCACCACGTTGGTGCTGCTGGCACCAGCAAATGAAGGCTGCCAGTGCCTGGAGTGCCCGGAGGTCTCCATGCCCTGTGTCAGCAGAGGAACCCTTTCCCGTGGCCTGGCACAGCGATCCCACCTGGCACTGCCCCGAGATCAGCCCTGCTCCTGGGACAGAGAGGCCAAGGCAATGCCAAAGGGGGGTCATGGGAGGGAGCTGGGAGCTGTGGATCTGGGGGCTCAAGCACTGAGTGGGCTGGATCAGGTGTGCACTAACAGGCTCTGATGGGGTGCAAGAACCAGGGCAGAGGCTTAGATGAGCATGGGCAGAACATGTTCCCCATGCCCTGGCTCAAGCTCCTGGCAGGGCTGGGGGCTGGGAGCTGTGCTCACCGGGATCCAGGGAGGGCCCTGCTCCCCCCCTGCCCACTCCTCACCGTGGTGGTGGCAGTCACAGCAAACCAGCGCAGGATGCCAGGCAGGGGATAGGCTGTCACAAAGGTCGTCCGCTCGATCCACATGTTCTGCCGGAAGGGCAGCAGTCACCCACCGCCCCCCTCAGTCACCCACACTCACCCCTGGCTGCCCTGTGGGACGGGGGGCCTCCCACCTCCCCTTTTCATGGGCACAGGACCACCACCTTCCCCATCCCACAACCAGGGACCGCCTGTCTCTCCTCTGGTCCCTGGCTCCTTGCAGG